GCGCCCTTGGGCTTCGTGCTACAGTTTAGACTCAATGTCACGGTTCTTTATCTGATTTTACAATGTGCGATGTGAGATTGATAAATCACCAAAGAGTCCAAATCCGGCAAATCGTTTTGGAAAACTGATTTTTGTAAAGAAGTGTCAAACATGGACTGCTTTGCCAGATACAGAGTCGCTACCTAAATATTTTATTTTTGGAGGAATTTAGGAAACTCTGACTCGTGCCTAAGGCCATGTGTCCGTCATCACCAAAGTTGCCTCGGCTCAAGAACTTGGGTACGAGAGGGGAATGTCATCTATGAGCACCTCCGCTCGCCCGATCAAAGATCGGCCTATACTAAGCATGATATCTTGTTTTTGAAAACACATGCGTTCTTATTTCGGTTAATTAGCTAGAATTACTACGTGATGCGCACAGCAAACAAGTATAGACTAGATCGCCTAATTTGGAACGAAGCATCGCATATCCGTTTGTTTGGAAAATGGTTTGAAGTTTGCTACTCGTAAGTAGGCTAAAATGCGGATTTCAATGAATTGTTCCGATTCAAGTAATCCAACCTTCACCCACAGGCATTCAGGCAGTTATATCACATAAGCAATTAGCCTCATGGCAAACATGTTGTCATGTTATCATTCACACACATGTAAGATGCTAAAGCATAAACACTTACAGTGTACTCCGAGCCAAAACAAGAAACTAGTTAGAAATCATGCATGATCCTAGTTCATGTTAAAATGGCTAATGCAGTGCATGCAAAGTGCAACTAGAATAGGCTCGGCTCTTCTAAGATGGCATATGAGATGCGACAACTCGATACATGTATTCAAGTAGGAATTGAAATACAATGCAGTTAGTATGATGCGTCGAGCCCGGTGCATGCAATACAGATGGATGATGCAAACATGCATAGCATAAGGATGCTAAATAAAATATGTCCTAAAACTAACTATCGTAAGCGGTTAAGTAAAAGGGAGAACGAAATGGGGTTTGGAAGACATGCACACACTCACGGACATTTATTACAAAATTGTGCCCTCTCGACAGAGGGACCGAAAGAATAATACAAATTAACTAATTAACTAACTAACAAGCTAATTAATTATTACACAACACTTAACTAATTTAAACAAGTTAATTAAGCTAAAAACACAGTAAAGCGCCCTTGACAAGAGGGACAAATGCATGCTCGGTCGGCTTTGCTCGGAAATCCGTTGCCATGCTTCATGTTGCCTCTGTTTGCACTACTCTATTCCTCTGAAAATTATGCTAACTTCTGTGACACTTTAGAACCACCTTTTGTACACTGTGGGAGGTCATCGACCAAAAGATAGGGCCATCGGCCAAGATAAACTGGTCATCGACCAAAAATGAGGCTCTCGGCCAAATGTTTGTAGTCGACCGGCATTGAAGATGGCCGACCGGCCATATCTTCCTGCAGAATGCTGTTTTGCTGCAGCAGAGGACAAACAGAGCATGTCAACGCATTTCCAAGACAATGTCTACATAACCACCCTCCCTATCATGTCATGAGCTCAAGGGAGTATGGTTCTCGACCCTCGGACTACCAATCACGCATTTCAATGCATGATGGCCAAAGGTGCCAAGTGTGCAATTTATATCAAATGAAATACACAAAAACACATAAGGGGCCCCAACCTCTATCATGCTTGATCAAGAGGCAAAGGATGCATGCATAATGCTATGCAACCTAGGCATGCAAGCAAGCTAATGCAGCATGAGTATGCAAGCAACCAATGTGCAATAGACATACAACCTAAACAAGTAAACATGCAAGGCATATAACAACAATGCCAATGAAAAACATGCAACAACATGTGAGGCAAACCTGTAACAACATGTAAAGGGACAAGTATATTTAGACCAATGTAATACATACATGATGAACTTAACAAAGTAACATAATCATGCAAGCGTTACAATGTAATAGGCATGCAACAAAGATACCAATGATAAGCATGCAAATATGCAAAGCAACTTAACAAAAGGCATGCAAAATGCAATATAACTCAAGCATGCAACAACATGCAATAGGCCAAGTATGTAACAACGTGCAAGGCAAGCATGCAACAACATGCGAAAATGGACTTAAACCAACATGGACAGCTCTCAAACATGCCCAAATCAACGGCCAAAATGCTAAGAAATGAGGGATAAAAGCATATACAAACATGCATACTAATTGGCCTATCACCTAGGCATGAAGACATAACTCTTAAGCACACTTAAAAGAGTGAAAAGTATGCAAGTGTGACAACACTACATGCTCTGAAATGATGTTATAAATGATGCCAAATCACACATATAATCATAATCATAGCATGCATAAGGCTTAAAGCCTAAGACTAACAAAGGGACTTGAACCAAAGCTACACAAAACAAAGAGCATATGGCAAGTATAACAAAAAATAGTCCTAAATCATGTCAAAATGAGCCTAAAACATGCAATGGCCAAGGCCAAAACATGCTAGAAAGGTGGGCTCAAAACATGAAGCATGCAAGGCTACAAAAGGGGTGTTACACTACACCTATCAAAACCGAACATGGTATGATTTAAGCAACCAAAATTAGAGTTATGGCATGTTAGAACAAGACCAAAAACACATTGAAATGGCATCCTAGAGGCCTAAACATGGAGGCATACACAATGGTCCATTCATGAGGCATAAGACATCAACTATTTAAAACATTAAAGGAGTGATAAGTCCAAGTGTACAAGAATACTATATGGACTGAAATAACATAATAAGTGATGCCAAATCACTGAAATGACCCAAGTAAAGCATTCTAGTGACTTGGACACTCAAAGCTAACAAGCTAGATTACATGGTGGTTATACAAAGTATAGCATATATGACCAAAACAACACAAATCAGAGCTTAAGCATGTTGCAACAAGGCTAAAAGCTTCACGGAGTTGAACCAAAAGCATGCTAGAATGACATGTTACAACATGATGCATGTTGAGGCAAACAAGAGGATTGCAAGACAAGTATATGAAGCATATAAGAGGCCATCAAACCAACTTGAAATAGAGGTATATTATGGCAAAACAAAGCCTAATACACACTGAAATAAAGCTAAAACAAGATAAGCATACAAGCCACCAACATAAGCCATTTATGCAAGCATTCAAGAAGACAAGGAGAGGGGATGACCCTCTCATATTTAAGTCCTCAAAACCACCTTTCCATCACTAAAAATCCTCTAGATTTCAGTGGTAAAAAGGTCATGCAAAGCTAAGAACAAAGGCCAAAAGGGATGGCCTAAAACAAGGCCTAACAAGGCCTTGGAGGGGGTAAACAACCCCAAACCAAGAAGAGACCTTAAACAAAGGTCTGAAGCAAGTAAAAACAGAACTTTTATAAGTTAATAGCTAAGCTTAAAATAATAAGAAAGAAGGGGCTAAAGCTTAAGCAAGAATGGGGCATTAAAAGCAAGTTTGCTCACCCTTGAAGAACACCTCCAAAAACACAACACCAGCAGGTTTCTCTGATCAAAATCACCTCAAGAACCCTAACACCAACTCCTTAGTACCTCAGCAACCAAGGATGGTGTTCTACTATGTGCGCAAAAGTATGAACAAAACAACCTTTAAGGCACAAACACACACACAAACATGTGAAGAGAGGGAGATATAGAGATAGATAGATACAACTTTCTAACCCTAAATTTTTAGAACCTCTGAGAAGGGAGGAGGGGCTTCCTTCTTATAGAATTCAATTCCAAAGCTTCTTGGAGAAGCTAAGCCAAAGGGGCAAATCCCTCCATACATGTGTATGGATGGGGGGAATTGTGCATGCCAGCTGGCATAAAATATCTGCAAAAAGCAAATGAACAGGGTTCAGCCAGAAAATATGGCCGATCGACCAACACAAGGGCCAATCGACTAAAAAGAGTGCCGATCAGCCAACACTTTTGGCCTATGGCAAGAAAACAGGGCCGATGGCTTCATGCCTTAGCCGATGGGTTGAGGTAATGGCCAATAAGCCACCCCCTTCTCTCAGAAGCAAAAACACAAGTGCTTGGTCCACAACCAAGCACAAAACAGACAAGTTGAGAGATCTTGAGGCAAGGCGTGCGGCCGAGACCTCCGGGAACTCAAAACGAACACGAGCATGGATGATCATCGAGTGTTTAAGCGATGACGTCCGAGTCTTGAGGACGGTCAAAAATGGGGTGTCTATAGCTGTTAATGTATATTATATTATACTTATCTATTTGTATCTCTATCCATATCTTGTATCTCTATCTCTATCTCCTTGTATCTCTATCTTCTTCTATACTTATCTTGGTTTCTTTTTAGCCTATATATACAGGCTTCTCCTATTGTATTCATTCATTCAATTCAATATAATACAGATACATAATTTTTTCTTTCTTTCAACAATTCTAACAAGTAGGAATGTCATATTGTATCGCCTTGATCATTACCTCTCTTCTTGCCATAGAGAGATACTTCTCCTTCCAGCCACTAACTCGTTTCCAATTTCTCTCTTTAACAAAATATGGCAAGCCTAGATATATGCCGGATTTGACAGAAACACCCACATTCATAATTTGACACAACTCCTCACCAACATCATTGTCCACATTCACACTAAGGCAAATAAAAGATTTGTCAAGATTGATTTTCTACCTAGATGCTTGTTCATAAGCATGCAATAACTCTATCTTGGTAGCCCCCAAAAGCAAACAATTATCCACGAAAAATAAATAGGATTAACGTGGACCCCCTAAGAAGATTGCAACACTGGTAAGTTGATGACACTCCTTTGCCCTTCTAATCAATGTGGACAGCCCCTCTGCACAAAGAACAAAGAGATAAGACGACAATAGATCACTTTGACGAATACCCTTGTCAGTCGAAACTCCATAGTCGGCTGCCCATTTAACAACACTGAGTAGGACACCGTCTATACATATCGCATAATAAGAACAACATAGCGAGTCGGCATATCCATGTGCTCTATGATCCTTTAGAGAAACCCACATTTGATGTGGTCATAGGCTTTACTTATGTCAAGCTTTAGCGCAAAACATCCATTCTTTCTGTGGCGCTTATTCTTTATAAAGTGGAACACCTCGAAGGCTGCAAGAACATTGTCACTAATCAATCGACCCCTAATAAAAGCACTTTGATTCAGCGAGATCACTGATGGTAGAACCAACTTCAAATGATTTCCTAGAACCTTGCTAACAATCTTGTAAACCACATTACATGGACTAATCGTCTTGAACTCATGCATTCTTCGTACTTCCTTCACTTTCAGAATAAGAACGATGAACGTATCATTCACCACACCTACATCATCTGATCCATTTAAAATTTCCAGAATAGTTCGGGTCACATGAGAACCAATCATTGGGTCTCAATATTCTGTAAGTTATTTTTTTTAAATCCTATTTCTATTCACTTCACTAACTTCAATCCTTATCTTGTTATATTCTTCTTCTTTGTTTCTTTTTTTTTTTTAAAGATTTGCCCATAATTAGTTCATCATTAATTATTTTCTTGTAGAAAATTTTTTGTCAAATAAACACATGAAAATTAAATAATTTTGTTTTTGTCCAAAACTAGTTTATAGGAAAAAAATTTACAATGTAAAATGTTTTAAATCAAAACTAACCCAGCCTAAAAAAAAGTCTCAACCAATGTAAAGCATATACCAAATAAAAACTGAACCAAGAAAGACTTTTTTTTTTGGGTCATTTAGATTGGCCCTATTTCAATTTCTAATAGTGTAATAAATTAAAAACAATTTGGGGGCGCTTATTTTGATCCAAATTTTGGGACTCCATAGGGCCGAGCCTATGTATATTTATAATTATAGGATTGCTCGAAACACAAAGAAAGATTAAAAAAAAAAAAAAACCTCACTTATATCCCTATTTCACATACTTTGTTGTTTAACTCATTCAAAAATAGTGAAAAAAACATAATGGGTGTAGTTTTTTGAGATAAAAAAGTACAAAATCTTGTTTGGTTTGCATTTTTTCAAATATTCTCTCTAAAATAACTTTTTGGTGCTTGTAGAGTAGTTTCTGAGATAAAAAAAAAGTACAAAAACTTGTTTGATTTGTACAGGGCCTCTGTTTGACTTCTCTCTCCTTTCTTCCCAATGTATTCTACAGGGCCTCTGTCTGACTTCTCTCTCTCACACAGAACCTTTTCCCTCTCACCTCCATATTACTATGCGTAGTCCAACGGCTCTCTCTCTCTCTGCTAAATGGAAGATGATTCAACAATTGATTCGAATGATCTGTACTCGTTTTTGGTTTTTCAAAGAGACCCTCTCACCTCCATTATTATTTTGTTGAAAATTTAAGAAATTTGTTGTGTACAACCCTACTTTGTCTCAAATTTGTGGTTGCCCAATATGTAGATGAAGGTGCCGTGACTCGTAGAGGGTTCAGGCAATAGGGGTATCTAACTCTCTTCTCACAATCATTTCTCTCCCTCACAGATTTCCCCAAATCTTCTGCCCTAACTTCTGTGTTAGCGATTCTTCAAATCTTGAAAAAATCTGCCACAGTAATATCAATCTCCATCATCTGTGGTTGTTCACCTATATAAAATGCAAAGTGCCCAACTTTAAACCCCACCAAGATGAAGCACAACGGCATCTTTCGCACCAAAAATGGATAGACCGTGTTGTGGTGTTCGATGTGGATGATGAAAGTTATAGTCCACCAAAACCCGACAAGCAAGAGGTACAAATCTTGGCATCTTTTCTTTACAAACTTCCCAATCTTAGCTTTTCTTCTCTTCACCATGTCTGCCTATTGTAGACACCCCATTTTTGACTGTCCTCAAGACTTGGACGTCATCGTTTGAACACTCAGTGATCATCCATGCTCGTGTTCGTTTTGAGTTCCCGAAGGTCTCGGCCGCGCGCCTTACCTTAGGATCTCTCAACTTGTCTGTTTTGTGTTTGGTTGTGGACCAAGAACTTGTGATTTTGCTTCTGAGGAAATGAGGTGGCTTGTTGGCCATCCCTACAACCCATCGGCCAAGGTATGCTGCCATCGGCCTTGTTTCCTTGCCATCGGCCATAAGTGGTGGCCGTTCTGCACTCTTTTTGGTCGATCGGCACTCTTTTTGGACGATCGGCCATATCTTTTGGCCGAGGCCCCTTTTTCTGCTTTTTTAGAGATTGTGCTTCCAGTTGGTGCCAGCTGTTGGGCACTTTTTGTATCCTCCATACACATATATGGAGGGATTTGAACCAAGCTTAGCTTGCTTGGGAACCTTTGAAATTGAATTTCTATAAGAAAGGAGACCCCTCTCCCTTCATAGAGGTTCTGAATTTTGAGATAGAAAATATATATCCCTCTCTCTCTACATTTCTTCCTCTCTCTCTATATTTGTGTGTGTTTGTGCCTAAAAGGGTGTTTTGTCTTCACTTTTGCACTACAACACCTAGCAATACCCCACCATTCTTTTAGCTAAGATTCTTGGGAGTGATATTTGGGCTTTGAAACTTGGTTTTTGACCTCTGAAGTTGCTGTGCTAAAGGGGTTCTTCAAGGGTGAGCTGTTTACTTTTTTCAAACTTTATTTCCATAGCTTATGTAGCCAACTTTGCATACTTCTTTTGGTTCAACTTTCAACTGAAAAAAGTCTTGTTTTGAGGTGTTTAACATGTTTGTTTAGGGCCTCTTTGGTGTTGGGGGTTGGTCTACCCCCTTTGTGCCTTATTTGGCCTTGTTTTAAGTCATCTCTTTTAGGCCTTTGGATCACCTTTGTTTGGCCTCTTCACCATTGAATTCCAGAGGAATTTCAGTGGTGGGAATGTGGTTTTGAGGCCTCAAATAGGAGAGGGTTGTCCCCCCCTTCTTCTCTTGCGTGTTTGTGGTATTGGCTTACTAAGTTAGCATGTTTTTTTTTTTTATCTCTTTAAGGCTCCATTTTAGCATGTTTTCATGACTTTTCTAACATGTTATACCTCTATTTTGGGATGGTTCAATCATTTGTTGCATGCTTAATATACTTGTAGTGCAATCCTCTCTATTGCCTTAACATGCTTTGTGCTGTAAGCTTTGTTTTTAGCATGATTTTGGCTTGACCCAAAGAAGCTTTTACTCATATTTCAGCATGCTTAAGCTCTATTTGAAGTTGTTTTGGTCATGCATACCATGCTTTGTATAGCCTTAGTGCATTCTAGCTTGTTAGCTTTGAGTGTCCAAGTCACTAGCATGCATTGCTCAGACCATTTCCATGATTTGGCATCATTTCATATGTGATTTCAGTCCATAATGTGTGGTCATGCACTCACATTTGTTACCTTTTCCATGCATTGGGAGGTCTGTGCTTTTTGCCTTAAGAATCGGTCATTGTGCATGTCTTATTGCTTAAGCTTTTGGGATGCCATCTCAGTGGGTTTTTGGGCTTATTTTGGCATGCCATAACTCTGATTTTTATTGGTTAAGTCATGCTATGTTTGGTTGTAATAGGTGTATTGCAATACCCCTTGTTATCCTTGCATGCCACATGCTTTTTGGACTTTTGTTCTAGCTTGTGTTAGCTAGGTTCGAGCATGCTTTTGGTCCTGTATTGACCTGCCATGGGACTGTTTTGGTTTCCCTTGGCTCTTTGGTGCTTGCTTTGTATGGCCATGGTGTAAATCCCTTTGCTAGCCTTAAGCTTTGAGCCTCGTGCATGCTATGCTTGTGTTATGTATGTGATTTGGCATCACTCTTGACATCATTTCAGAGCTTGTAGTGTTTTCACACTTGCATGCTTTTCACTCTTTTAGTGCTCTTGAGAGTTGTCCTCTTTATGCCTTAATTCTTGGGCCAATTGGCGTGCATGCTTGTCTTGCATTTCATGTCATCAATTCATCATTTTGGCCACTGTTTTTGGCATGGCTGAGGTCTGTTCATCTTCGGTTTAAGCCCATTGTGTATGTGTTTTGCATGTTGTTGCATGCTTGTCCATCTTTGCATGTTGTTGCATGCTTGTCCATATTTGCATGTTGTTGCATGCTTGTTCCATTTTATTATTGTTGTATGCTTGTTGCAATGCATAACATTGTTGCATACTTCTTGCATTGCATCATGTGTGCATGTCTAGGTTACATTGCATTTGGCATGCTTTTGTTGCATTGCATGGTTTCTCCATGTTGCATGCTGTACATTGTGTTCAATATGCTTGCATTGCATTGTGTTTGGTTTGGGTGTTAAGCCAAATACGAGGAACGAAGGACGTTTCATACTTGAAGTAATGAAACGTGCCTCAATTCTCGGTTGCTGACCCTCTTGATCATGCATGATAGAGGTTAAGGCATTATGTGTTTTTGTGCATTTCATTCACATTGAATGGTGCGACTCAGCCTCTTTGGCCATCATGCATCGAAATGCGTGATTGATGGCTCAAGAGTCGAGCACTACACTCCTTTGAGTTTCAAACATGATAAGGAGTGTAGTTGCACAACATTTCCTTGCAAATGTATTGCCATGCCTCTGTTTGTACTCTGCTGCAGCAAAAGGAGCAGTCCACAGGAAGAGATGGCCGATCGGCTATCTGGTGTGTCAATCGGCTAACAATGTCTGGCCGATAGCCTCATAAGTGGTCGATGACCCTTATCCTTTGGTCGATGACCATACCATTTGGCCGATGGCCTCTCAGAGTGCCCATGAGGTGGTTCAGAAGCATCACAGAATTTTTTACAGTTTTCAGAAGTAAAAAACAGTGCAAACAGAGGCCACATGAGGCATGGCAACAGATTTCCGGGAGGACGCGACCGAGCATGCATCTCTTCATCGTCTGCGAGGCCATTTTAGTATTCATGATTAGTTCGTGTAATTTAATCATTTAATTGGTTTTGTAATATTCATTTTGCTTAGTGTAGCTATTTGTTTCAATTTGGATTGTAATATTTAATTAGCTTGTTAGTTAATTAGTTTTGGTGTTGTAATAACTAGTCTAAGTAGATTATTAGATTAGTTGCATAGTGTAGCGTAGCTAGCTTAGCTTATTTGTTCAGACCCTCCGTCGAGAGGGCTAATTTTGTAATAAGTGTGCGTGAGTGTGTGAATGTCTCCCAACCTCACGTCTTTCTCCCTTTTACTTTTTAGCTTTTGATGGTTAGTTTTAGGTCATGTTTCAATTAGCATTCCTATGCTCGTATGTTTCCATCCATTCATTCGTATTGCATGCACCGGGCTCGGTGCATCATACTAACTGCATTGTATTTCAATTTCAATTAGAATACATGTTATCTAATTGCATTTCCCATGCCATCTTAGAAGAGCCGAGCTTATTTTAGTTGCATTTTTGCATGTGTTGCATTAGGCATCTTAACATAAACTAGGATCATACATGATTTCTAACTAGTTGTTGTTTTGGCTCGGAGTACACTGTG